CAACCCTCAGTGTTGCCCCCTTACCGGACCGGCAATGGGATTGCAACCCTCGGTGCTGCTCCAGCGCCTCGCTCAGCCAGTGAGCGGGAACCGGTCTGTATGTGGGATCCGAACCCTCGGCGGGAGCGCCGCCGCGCTTCCCAAGCGGCGCACTATCCAGTGCGCCACCGGGCCGGTCCAGACTCTGGGTTTTGAGGGGAGGAGGAAGATCCTCAGTTTGGGACAGCTGCTACCACGTGGGTAACCAACAGCCTGGCAGAGGGGCGAGAGAGCCAAGCCAGCCAGCGAAGGGTCGCCTGTTTGAATTCGCAGAAAGGCCTGGGGAAGTGGGAACCCTGATAGGAAAATGGTTTCCTGAAGGCTATTTTGTGAATTCTTTTTAATCCCCAAACCAGCCTGGTATCCACCAACACAGAAAGAAAACAGGCCCGGAAGCAGCGGTGAACAGATCGTTTACTCTGTCGGATTATACACCATCTCCCACCGCGGTGACCAGCGTTCTCACCAGTGTCCCTCCTTACAGGGGACAGTTAATACAAACAAAAATAGTTCTCTACAAAACAAAGTTTCCAATCCTCCAACCCTTCTGTCCACCCCCGCCCCCAGCCGGTGAGTTCCTTAGTCAGCAGGCCTCACGTGGGGCCCGGGGTCTGGGGGGTTGCAAAGGAGAAAAGAAAGAGTATAAAAGAGAATCAAGTCAGCGACTAGATTGTAGGCAACTGGGTTCCGCATCCGGTGGCTGAGGGTTAGCCAGGGACAGGCGCAGGGGTGTCTGCAACAGTCCTGTGTGTGTGCATGTGCGCTGGGAGGCAGGACCTGGGGTGTTGGCGTGAGCAGCGCTTCTCCCGACCCCCCGTCTCACCGCCAGCAAAATAAAAATAAAAAATAAAAGGAAAGGGGCAGCGGGTAATAGAAAAACTAAAACCCAAATCGCAGGCCGCTGGGGCCCCGGGCCAGGGCCCCACAGCGCCCGCTGCTGCCGAGGGAGGGCAGTGCCAGGCGGGGCAGGTGCCACGAAGGCGGACGGGAGGACCCTGCTGAGTAGCACCTGGGAGCAGCTCCGGCCGCACCCTTCTGGCCGGCCCGGCCCCCGAGACCCCCGGCCCCAGGGCGCAGGTCCTCCGGGCGCGGCTCAGCAGCCCAGGCGGGCGGCCAGCCCCAGCAGCAGCA